TTATTGCCCATTTCACAATGCAAACCTCAAACCAAGAATCCCCAGAGGCCAAGAAAAGGAGAGATGCAATCCCTTCCCTTGAAATTTCTAAAATACTTTAACTTGATGGGTTAGCCACATGCTCCCCCAAATCTTAGCACTGGCAACAGGGAAAAAGGACCAATCTCCAACATCACTCACTGCTGCAGCGACACTGAAAGCGGTGAACACTCTTGCGGAGGACGCCTCTTCTCTACTGGGAGCTCTGACAGATGTGCTCTCCCACACTGACCTGCAGGAGTTTAGGACAAAGCCACCCCACACCGCATGCCCTTGCTGTCTCTGAACTGTTCTGCTATAGCAGTGGGGATTTTTCAGCAAAGAGGTGCACAAACGGCTCAAAACTGACACCGGCAGAGGACCATGCTTCAATCCCACTGAGTCTGGATGTCAGAGTCCAACTTTACTGGGACTACTTCTGTGAACCAGATGCTTCCTTAGGTATCTTCTTGACTCTTATTCAACAAGCTCCAAGTCCTGTGGATCCCAAAGAACATGGTGCAGATGGCAAAGCACACCTTGGATTTATTTTTTTTTTTAAACTGTTATTAAACCAGGACAGGGAAAAAAAAAAAATCAGCCCCGGAAGTGTCCTATTTCTGTCAAAGCCTTCCAAACCACAGCCAGGTCCTCCTCCACAGAGCACATCCCTCCATCGTTACCTGCCAGTTGATTAAAGTTGTCGTGCAAAATATATATAGATTTGAGGTTTATTTTTGCTAATGATATTTAATTATAATTTCAAAGGCTAATATCAAGAAATGCAAACAGCCTTGTGAGCACACCTACTCAGTTCAGCAGAATCCCTTTTGTGCAGCATTCTACAAGGCAAAAAAGGAAAAAAAACCCCCAGATTCTTCCCCAAATTAACCAGTAATTGTAACAGACTACGACTTTCAGCCTGGTATAGCACAACTGCATTGCCAGGAGAGCAGTTGTCTGGTGGAGACATTAATTCATGGGATGCCAATTCCTAGGTCTTTAAACACGATATGCCACCTACCAAGCAGCAAAGCCCAGTGTTGGTATTCAAGCACCTCTATAAGGAGATCCTTCATTTCCACTTGCAACATAAAAAAGATTTTTATTGGCAGTAGGAATGTATTATTCAAAAACAGCAAAACCATACAGCAGTCGTAACAGTTAACAAGTGCCAATAAATCTGTAAAACTGCACACCTTCACTAACACCACTTTTGCCAAATATCTGGGATATTGAGCACTTTGGACTAAATCTTGCAACAAGTTATGTACACAGATGGGCATCTTAGGATCAAAACGAGCACTGAAGATTGGTTTTATGTGTACAGAAATCCATTCTCATACAACAAATTGCACAAATAAGGGCTGAAATGGGACTGAAACGTGTCTTACAGGAACAGCATTTCATATCTACCTACCCAGAATATCTTGGCTAGGAGCGAGAAGGCAGGCAGGGATGTTTTTTAGAATTTCCAGAAATTATTTAATTTCTGTCATGAATCAAGATGCTAAAGAGTAGAGACACTGAAAAAAATCAGCTAAAGCAACTGAGTGATGTTATTTATTGGGAAACTCAAAGGGCAGTTGTTCTTGGGATGTAAAATGAGCTCCTGCTTATATTTATCGCCCCCCCCCCTTCAGCACCAGCTTTTGCTCAATTCTAGATGGTGCCAAAGCATAGCTTTTACCTTCAACTTCTCTTAATCTGTATCAGACAGAGAAGTTTTTTGGTTTATTTTTTTTACAGCCAAGTCTGCTGGGCTTCTCATTTAAAAGCTGACTTCTTGGAACACTTGCAGCAATCCCTCTCTCCAGGTAAAAAGAGCTTTCATACAAAATTAAGATGTAGTTTACAGTGTATTCCATGGAATAACAGTAGGGGCTCAAAAAACACATTTGCTCACTGACTACTGAAAAGAAAGATTTCATTGTAGCTTATGCCATCGGCTTCTGCCCAGTCAGGAGGTTCAATAAAAGCAAACACACCAAATAGCCTCAGACCAGTTGCACAAAATCGTTTTCCAAGCAGGAGCTGAATTTAAGCAAAGACTGCAGAGAAGCAACCCAAATGCCTTTGGTATTGCTCATAAAACTTTGCCAGCAAAGTGACCTTAAGCAGCAATTCTGGCAAGATTTACAGCTGCAATTCAGAGTAAAACACAGTGCTGCTTTAGGAAGTTGTGTTTGGGTCTTGGTTTTTCTTTCACCAGCAATAAAAAAGAAAAAAAAAAAAAAAGGAAAAAGAGGCACTAAGGCACGAGAGTTATCTAGGTTTGGGAATCAGAGAAGACCCAGGAAAAAGAGTGGTTTTGTTGCACATTTCTCTCTCACACCCAATGATCTGAGGAGCCTACAAGGAGGCAGGTGGCTTCAGAGCAGAGCCAGAGAAAGATTCTTCACCTTTCCAGCAATTGAAAGAGTCCATAAGGCATGGAGAAACTCGGAATCTGTGGCCTATCCACTTACTCAGGTGTAAGAAGAGACCTGCCAAAACAGATCCTCTTCACTTCTCCTGGTGCTACAAAGAGCAGGGCAAGGACAGGGCTTGCAGCTTGCACAGGAACAAGTGGGAAGAACAGGACTCTGCAGGACTGTCAGAAACACCAAAAAATCTTGACAAACCTAGTTATTGAATGATAACATTTTGTATCTATATAATTAATTTTCCCATGGATCTTTTTAATCTAAATCCACATATTAAGTGTGATAACTACTTCCATTCCAGAAGAAACAATCTATATAAAGTTCAAACTTAGCCTGACATAAAATTGGCTTGAACGTTGGCCTCAACATTAAAACATTTGGCAAAATGTTTCCACCCAAAAGGATAACTTACCTACCATAGGAGAATACAGAAGGGGAAAACTGAAGCCCAACTCAAAAGCAATACATAAACACACCACCTAACCCTCTCATTAAAAAGTTGTATGACTTTCAGACTATGTTTTTGTAGAATGGAGTTTCTTCAGGTCTGAATAATCCGTAAGAATTAACTGAATTAGAATCATACACAGAAAAGCTCAGTAATTTTTTTGTCAAATTTCCTTCTGATAAATTTACCTTTGATATTTAGAAGTGGAATTGTCATGTATTTTACTAAACATTAACAAATTTTCTATACCAAGAGCCTGGGAAAAACAGTACAACTCAGCATTACTCATATTTTTTTTTTCTCCTTTAAAACAGATTACGTGCATTGTGTTTAACTCTGAAAACCACAGTTTTCAAGTGAATGTGATAAAACTGAAAGACCAATAAATCCAGAATATTTTCTTTATGCAATGAGGTATCACAGAGTGCAATTAGTGACCATGAAGTAATCAAGTTTGTATGTTGTGCCTCTCATCTCCCTGCTGGAGCAGCTTGCAGTAACCTTACACTGTGAGGTACCCGCTGGATACGATGACATTTTCTTCTAGCTTTTATGCTCAAATGGAGCCGATTAAAACAACACTGGAAGAACTGAATGTGAATGTTTTTAGACAGTGAAAACTAACCAACCATATTGCATTTCTTAGAAATACAAACTAGCTCACGTGAGGGCTTGTTGAGGCTGGTTTATATTAATCTCTGCTGAAAATGATAATAATAGTGAATTTTATATTTTTTTCCTACATTTAATGATCAGTAGTAGAATTTTACTGGATTCACTACTCCATATAAAATCAAATTCCAACTACACCGTTGCTGCCATTGTTTATGTCAGCAATGATAATTTACAGGTGTTCAGATGTTTGCAAATAAACTTAATTGGAAACTGTAAATCACCATATACTCAAAATGCGTATCGGCATCCCAAGACAACAGAAGGAATTGAAAATGAGCTGCCTTCTGCAACTGGAAGCTTTTTTCCAGCTGACAAACAGTAAAAGCCAGTGACTCAGCTCACTTGGATTTCATAGTAACCTCGTACATTAAGTAAATGAATATTTCATATATACCTAAAGAGAGCATACATAGTGTTCCACGTACACATACATGGAACAAGTATGAATATACGCATACATGAACAGAGAGTTCCATGTACAAATAAATTACGTGGCCCTGTTGTAAACAGCCCTAATATCATTCAAAAAGATGCCAACCAAGGAAAATGGACTGGAGAGGTGAGGTGTATGATAGTGGGAAACCAGAAGATGAACCAGGCATGAGTCTTGCCAGCATTTTGCCTCTTATTAAAATCAAATCACTTTAATACTAGAGTTATAAATCGAACAAACAGGCTTCCTCAGCACCCACAAGTCATCATATAGCTCAGAAATCACTTGCCTGGAGGAAACAAGCATGAGCCTAAGCTAACATGGAAACCATGTGGAGAAGTAAAAGGAAAAAAAAATAGAGAGAAAGGCTCCTCATTAGTCCCCGTACGTCCCTGACATAGACACCGCACATGCATACATTCACACTGTGGCTACAACAACCAACAAAACCCAGGCAACTCCAGGCTTACCACAATCTGTAGGGTTACTGCATGTCCTGCATGCCCAAGGTCCTCCTAGGCTCTGATTACACAGAAGCTTTCAGGATGCGGGGAAGGAGGAAGAGGGCACGCTGGAAATATGCATGTGAACAAGCATTTTCCAAGGCAGGTGGTAGCTGCTCTCTTCCCCTTCTCTGCGGAGCACTTGCCTGCAGGGACACCCACACCACGCCTGGCTCCCAGACAATCCCCTCCACAATGTCACCCTGCACCTGAAGACAGTCTCCAAGAGTCTCCAAATGGACAAAGACAGAGATTTGGAAAGAAGTTAATGCGGTAGGATCCATGCACCTCTCAAATAAACTTTTCCATCTAGGTGACCACCAGTGTTGCTGGCCCAGACTGAGGGCGGGCAGAGGAGGCACACAGCTCACACCACTCTCCTTTTGGGGAGGGTGACAGGAAAGGAAACATCTCCCCGTCTCAACACACTGGAGCCACCACTGTCCCTCCCTCTGGGACCAGGGTTTTCAAACCCAACGTGGAGGGGGCTCTTTGCCCAAAGAGCCGGCACAGATAAAACTACCAAACCATGAGACACCCTCATGGAACGGGCAACTGCTGAAGTTTATGCAGGCTGGTTTAAAACAATGAAGAAAATAAAAAAAGAGAGTATCAAACTGAAAGCAAGCAAAGCAGGTGAGAATAAAGCCCATGATAAAGTCAGGGAAATGAAGAGATCTCATCTCAGCCAGTGACCAAGGAGAACAGAAGAGTTAGGACTCGTACTACCCATTTTTCCAAAGAGTCACCAGACAAAATGCTTGTTTTTCTGCTGACAAAAATGCTCACCTACTGAATTGTATTTCCCCAGTGCCTTTTGTCTATGTACCATGGATATGCGCAAATCTTATTCTTCTGGTTTTGATGCTTTTTTTTGCAGGGACATTTACATACTTTTCTGAAATCTCTCTCTACAGAACGAACATAGCTTTTCAAATAGTATTGAGCCGTACACAGGGAATATTTTCTGGTAGCAGATACAATTCCCCTGAACTGGATGCTTTGAAGTCAGATGCATTTCTTCTGAATGCATAACTTCCTTCTCTACGTAATTCTTCACTGTAGTCCTCTTATAATTCCATAAATCTCTAAATGGTTTAGAATTAGTTGATATAGATATGCATAATATTTTTTTAGCCCTGACTCATTAATTCCACCATTTTTTAGCTTTAACATAAATGGTATGTCCAAGTTTTTGTTCATGACTCATGTAATGACTAGTTAATGATTAAAAAAACTCTATTTACTGAAAATATTCTCCAACCTATAGAGGAAACGAAAGAAGTCAAACGTACCCCTCAAAACAAGTTTAACATTTTTCCATTAGAAAAATGGCATTGCCTTACAGAGAAGAACGAAACATCTTCACGTAGCAGGGTACCACGCACACGGTATGGAGGCAATTCCTTTGCTGGAAGAACAAAGTGCATTAGTCTGCACAGTATGAAGTATCATTCTATCCAAATTTAATAATCATGGATTCACAGACTCAAAGAATACCACATTGGAAGGGACTGCAAGGATCATCTGGTCCAACCTTCTAATAATCTTATTTCCCTCGTTCTATTGTGGCCTCTTTTCAACATTTAAATATTTAGGGTAGGGTGGCATAAAGCAGAAGAACTATAAACTATTAACAGTTCAAAATAAGGTCCTAAACATTTAGGTGAAGGTAACATTGGAATGTATCTCTCTGACACATAAACACTCACAAAAGCTGCACCAAACCTTCCCATTGGTGTGAAGCGATGAGTTTCTATCAAATTAACAGGGTGTTGGAAGTGTTCTATAAGCAAACAAAACAAACAAAAAATCCTAGAAACTACATGACATACCATCAATCTGTTCAGTAAACGATTTTTTTTTTAAAATAGAAAAAAAAATAGGTCTTGGGGAAGTCTTGAGATACCCTGTCCATCTGCCTACCCCAAAGCAGAATCAATTCTGCCGTAACTGTTCCTGATAAGGGTTGGTTTAGCATGTTCATAAACACTGCTGAAAATGGGGAATACACAACCGCCACCCAAGCAATCTATGCTAGTGCTGGACCATTATAGAGCTTTTTTTCCTAAAACCTGAACTAAATCTCCCTTGTTCCTATCGCACTATTTCCTTCCTCTTTGCAGACAGAGTTTGCACATCTCTCATTTTCCCCTCCCTCAGCCTTTTTTCCCCTACCCTAAACAACCACTATTTTCTTTAACTTTTTCTGCTAAATCATGTTTTTGAGACCTCTAACGAATCATGTCATTCTCCCCATGACTCTGTCCAAGTGTTCTTCACTGTTTCTGGTGCAATGTCCAAAACAGGATCCAGGGCTCTACTTGTGCACAGTTACAGACTGACCATTTCTTATGGTCTCCTACTGTGAATTTAAAAACCGCTGACAGCCCTCTCCCCACTCCTGCCCCCAATTTCTACTGCTACACAGTCTGGCCTAGCAAGCGTGTAAGGAACATGCAATGCAAGCATCTGCACCGCTCACCTGTTTTTGAGATGTGCCGCCAGGTCACATCGCTGCATGACTTCCTGACATACAGAAGAGAAGGGGCACAAAACAAATAGCTTGTCTAACAGTTTATGAACAAGAATGCTGGATTTTTTGCAGAGTTTAAAGTGGAGTCTTTTTCGATCCAGTGGGCAGAAATCCTTCTCCTGCAGAAAGTTCCTTAGGCACTTGTAGCAGAAAGTGTGTCCGCAGGGAGTGTCCAATGGCTGCAACAAGGGCTGAAGGCAAATGTGGCAGACCAAGTCATCGTCCACTTCGTTCTGGTAGTTGTAGAGGTGGTTCTCCCTTGTCCAGTGCTGCTGGCCACACTCGAAGCACAGAGGGTTCAAGGAGGCGTTCTGCTCCACCGAAGCCATGTCGTCACCTGTAGTCCCCATTGTACAGCTAAGCAGGCTGACAGACCCTCCTCCTCATAGGACGGGGTTGCTCACGTAAAGCTCAGAGGGAAGCAGCTCCTTCCAGGGTGACTCACGCTCTTCAGTCAAGTGTCATTTCCTGCAACAAATAAAGAAATAAAAATTACTCATTTTGCATGAATTATGGAAGTTCTTGTCAGAATTTTTGACTTCTGGGTTTACCAAAACACTGCAGCTAGACAGGTTAGGAGAATATTCCTCTTTTCTGTAAATTTGTCACAGAAGAGAGCAACAAAAAACCTGTAATATAACATAAACATTTTACGGCCTCAGAACAGCTGCTGCTGCGCTGCACAGTTTTCACCTGCAAGATGACCAGTTTGTGACAGCAAGGACACCGCATTATGCAATGTCACACTAGAAGCGTGCAATTAGCGTCTAGCACAAAAATACCCTACTGTGGAACAATGGTTGTAGGACCAAGTAATTAAATGTGTTCTTTAATATGAGATTATGATTTTAATCTGGTCCTACTCTCTTTCCTGGATTTTGACTATTAATGTAGAATATTACACATTACAGGTCTAAACAGACTGCATTAAAAAACCAGCAACAAACGGCTTACCCTGTTCTTTCCATTAATAATATTGCATTTTTGCCACCACTTACCATCAGGTTTTCTATGTGGGTTGCTACATAGCAAGAGGGACTGCTTCTATCCAATACACCACACTTGATTTAGTACAGAGGCCACTAATAAAAATACGGAATAAACTAATCATATGAAGCTATTGGTTCCAAACAACTAACCTGTTTTGCTTTTTATCTAACAAAATTACAGCATACTCAATGTGATGATCATCATGTCAGTCAAAGGACTGCAGGTCCGTCACTGTGGGATTTATTTTCTAAACTTTGTAAGTTATTAAACCTTGCCCCTCTTAAAATAGCTACCTGGTCAGGACACTGTGCAGCCATCAGTCTGCGTCTTCAAACACTGAATCCTTACCCTCCCAACCTTATTTGCCCTCCTTACAAAATCATGTTGCTTGACAGTCATAGACCAAGATGATTTAGAAAATAAAACAAATTTTCTCACATTCTTAAGATACCGCCTAATTCGTTAGTTTTGGTCAATGTTCTCATCAGTGGGGAAAAAAAGAAATCAAATTTGTACAACGCTTACTTTGTGCCCAAATTCTTCATTGCAATTCAGCAAGCAACACTCCTGACAGACACTTACTGTATTCTAGCAGAGTAGTAGCAAGCATATGGAGAAATGAAAACTGCTAGTCTAGGTACCATCATCTTTATTTTTAGCTGCTGAAATGCAGTCATAAATATATTCTGAAATTCATGTGGAACACACGCATTTCACCATGTCTTACTTTTTAAGAGAATCCCTGTTTTGGTTTTTGCCCCTTAACCTCGCACGGCCAAGCACAAGACTTAGAGCACATTTTACAAGGATTATTATATCCTTTGACGCAAAAAGGATTAGATAGTAATTTGTAATCCAGGCTTCTATTCTGCCGTGGAAATTGATGCTCATCATTGCCCAGACTCGTAGTAGATAATGTGCACCTTCTGGAAAGGATTTCATGAGGGAAGAGCATAGTGGTTCTTTGTTACAGGAGACTAAGAATGCAAAATGAGACCCCAAAAGAGATTACTCAAAAAAAAGTCTTAAATGTATTATGTAAGAGTTCAAAGATGGGAGAGCAGATAAGGAGAGCGGCGCACGGGGCCGTCGCGCTCAAACCACAGCGCTCTCGCCCTGCGTTCCTGCTACTGGATTAAAGCCGAAGGGATGAGACCTGTCTAATGGTTGCCCTTTATGTAACACAAAATAAACCAGATAAAAGCTCCAGAAAAAACACTGCATTGATTTGTGACTTTACCAAACTATTTTGCCACTTCAGGCACTCAGAGAGGAACAGGCGGCGCGTGTCGTATTGTACTTGGGGGTACCGGCAGCACCGACAGGCGGGGCAGAGGAAAAGGACAGGCAGAACAGGTAGAAAAAGCCATTTTAATAGCCTGTTGCCCAAATGCTAGACAAACTCCTACTAGTGACTACAACCAGGACTCTTCCTCCTCCTCCAGGGAACCCAGGTCCCAAGAAAGGAGCAAGTCCTACATCAGTGAGGCTACAGAAACACCCGGGGACGATGCTGCATGCTGCAGTTATGGAGCTCCTCTGACAGCAAGCATCCTGAATTCACCGTCTTGCCGGCTTCTAGCACTGCTGTTCTTTGAAGTCTGCGTGATTCCCATGGCAGTCTGCTGCAGAGCACCAGGCAGTGTCATGCAGTAAATATAGCCATGAGCTCCTTTGACCATATATGTGCTATGGTCAAAGATACCTGCTCCCCTCTTTTGGAAGGGAGGCAGGTATCAAATCCTTTTGCGTGTTAATTTTTTTTTTTTAAATAGCTTACTATAAATTTTGAACAAAAGGTAAAATAAGGGAAGTTATTGAGAGATGAGACTTTCACTGTTGTGTTTTAAATTATCATGGCAAGCCTTCTTTCTTAGGAAAGGTATAGCCAGAGACAAGCTGTAGTTACTGAAATCACAAGAGTTTGTCCTCAGTGAAACCTAGGCAGTCACTCTCTATTGCCCACCGCTGAAGGAGGTGAGCAGACAGACCTGTTCCAACTGCCCCATCCCAAAGTCTTAAAGCTGCTGGTGCAGGGACGAGCTCCCTCAGCTGTGCTTTGCCGCTCCAGGCCAGGGGCAGGCTTGTTTCTGCAGGCTGCTGACATTGCCACTAGTGGCTTCGCAGCACCACCAGTGTCCTGTTAGTTTAAACCATCAATAAATACCATATAAAGTAATGCCACTGCCTTTTCTGCAGCTGACATGACCACCCTTCCATCACCTCTCTGCCGGCAGAGCTGCGGGAGAAATAGATAGAGGATTACAACATGAAGAGTTTAAAAAAAAAAAAAAAATCACTACCACCACCCAAAAAAAACCCCAACCCACCACCAAAAACTCCACTGAGATTTCTTCACTTTTGCACTGCTGTCTGCTTCCTTCACTGCTGTACTGCATTTGGGGCAAGCCTGTTCCATGACTGAGGAATCAGCCACCAGGATTTGTATTGATTATATACCACAGCTGCCTCATTATCAATTCCAAGACTTTCTACAGGCTATTCCCAGTACAAAATATCAACTGATTTACAGAGTCCATAAACACAATATTTGTGGTCTGAGCAACAATTGGGATGGTAGGCAGGGTCTCAATTTCACTGACGTAAAGCACTATATCCCTGAAATCCACAGTACCAGAGCATTTATAATGCCCTACTTCAAGCCTCCTTATGCATCCCTTGTATCATTTGCTGTATCTCTTATCACTGCAGATCACCAGCTCCACAGGACGACATCAGCTCAGGAAAGCTGCAAACAGGAAAAATAGTCAGAATTACAAAAAATATGAAGAGGGTAGAAGAGCCAGCCCGGCCTGTTATTCAAGTCATGTAATTCCCTAGGAAATAATTCTCCTGGGACTTCATTACGACAGCCGAGCAGCGCAGGTGGTGCCCTGCTTTCAGTTTTAAATCACAATCTACTTGGGAACTGGGCAAAGACTGGAAATACAACTGTGCAAATTTTTATTTTTTTAAGTGGAGCATGCATGAGAGCGATTTTAGACTGAAAAAGACGGCCTTATCCTTAGGCCGCCTCTAGCTCTGACTTATCGATTCAACCAACATTCTTTGGAGAAGCTTGACACGTTTTTACAAAAGCACAAGATGTCAGGCTTTATTCCTACATCAGATTTCACGATGTTTATTCCTTCTGTCTGAATGGGCACTATAAAAAAAACCCCAAAGAACCCAACCACAAGCAAACCGGAATTCTAGCAATAACTTAGCTTTTTTACTATGGTTGTCTTTTTTTTTTACAAAAAGCACAAATAATTAACACTAGTTTCAGTCTGAAGTTAATGGAAATACCTATTTTGCAACGAATGCTCTCAGAGATTTAAGTAATCTATTTCTAAATTCCCATATTACAATCCTGGAGACTGTTCAAAATTTTACAAAAACTCTGACTATACCCCCAGAAGCAAACAACTAAGGAAAATAGCCAGCTTACCAACTAATCTCTCTAAAAAATTATCTTTAATATACCAGAACTCCCTATTTTGTTTACTACCTTATGCAATTTCCTCAACCAAAAGCAAAGGTTCGATGAATGCCACCCCTGTTCCTTTGGCTGGACTCCGGTGTCCCTGTATCCCAAAACCGCTGGGATGCAGATCTCTCAGTTCTGTGGCTAACACCGCTCCACACCAGAATGGACATCTTCTCACTGAGATGTATCTAACCACTGAATTAATGCCTAATTTATACTGTGTAGCTTAAACCAACTGCAGGTGAGAAAATACCCTCCTGTATTTCCTCTCGATTCAATGCTACTGGCTGCTGGCTTCTGGTTCTCATCCCAGTTTCTTATCTCTCCGCCGTGGAGAAAGGGAGGGTATGGAAAGAAGTTATAACAGCTACGGTGAAGGTTTCATACGATACTAAACTCAGGCAGCCCTTTCCTGGTCAGTCAGATTTGTACCTGCAAGGCAACGCATAGCATGTATCGACCAGTAACTGAACAACAGTACGGTCATCACCCTGGATTTTGGGAAAGGTCGGCTTAATTTTAAAATGTCACAGGATTTCTGAAGTCTGTTCTCCACGCCCATGGCACCCAAGTGCCCAAGCTAGCTAGGGAGGATCTCAGGGTACCCAAATTCCCCTGCCTCATTCAAACGCCAGGACTACAAACAGGATCTCTTAGCAGCCAGGAGTGGATCAACACAAGCCCCAGGAGAGGGAAACTAGACAGTGGTTACACCCATTGCTTAAAACCATATCGTAACCGATTAAAAATTAGTTCTTAGTTCCCAGTCCAGTATCCTTCACAGGAATCACAGCACCAGGCTGATGGTTCGTAACTGTTTTCAAAGCAGACCCTAGCTCGAGTGGAAGAATAAAAGATAGCAGAAACTGTATTATAAAAAACATGATGAGAATAAATAGCTGGCACACAGCACTAGAGGAGAAAAGTGTTATTCCACATCTTCCAATAAGCGTGACCTAGCTCATTAGATACAATATCTGCTTTAATATTAAAGCCATATGGCAAACAAGCAAAGCAGAACTAGCAATTTTTATTGACTTTACAATATCCATGTTAATTATGCCGATATCCAAGGGCTGCACTGTCTTCAAACCAAACCCCAATTCGATTCTAGTCCAAGTTTATGAGACAGTAATCCTGTTAGACTCTTCCTCTTTTGAAAACAGAAACAACTGAAAGTGTTGTCATAAGATGGCATCTGGCAGCTCAAAGTCAGGAAAAAACCTATGAGAGATGGGCAGAGCACAGTAATTAGATGGGGACGGATTTCTGCTAATGCTGCAGCCACACTGTCACCGCATGCCAATTATCCAATACACCTATTTTTTGTAGCAATGAGCAACCCTTTTCCATGTTTTTTTAAGTCGTTCAGCAGAATGACTGGAATCTTTGTAGTCAAACTAAAGAAAATTGTGCCTGAACAGTGACTTTGTTCCATCAAATCACAAGCAGGCAAGGCTGGGCTTGCAGTAAAACCATCTCTCCACTGATTATTTCCTTGCCTCTGTGCTTGCCTTTTTGCTCCATCAAAGCAATGCCCACATGGTGAAGGTGTCAGCCCTATACCAGATGTTGACACGGCATCATCGCTGCGAAGGCAGTGGGTTGCAAGTGATTCTTCTCCTTCCCCACCTCAGGGCTGTGGGTTTTTACATGCAATACCCTAAAAAAGATGTGCCCACGCGCTCCCCTTGCTGGGTATTTCTGGAGTACGGCATTTTTCCAGGATGCAAAATGAAACCTTGCTTAAATCTGGTGAATGAGGAGCTTTTGGGAAAATTAACAGGACCCTAAGTTGTGTTCGGTATTTGTGGAGTGCTGTGTTTCCGTGGCAACGGGGGGCTACGGGCTTTAATTACCGCTGCGACGTTAAGGGCCACGGCTGTTCAGCGGCGTGCGAATGGGCAGGAGGAACGCCTGCCCTGCCCAGGGCCCTGCGGCTGCCTGCGGAGTTTTAGGGGGGTCCGAGCAACCATCGCACCAGAGAAGGAAAAGATGTAAAGAAACGGGAAACCGAGGGGAAGCACAAGATCATCTGACCTTAGGAGAGAAGATGGATGACGCTCGCCTCCCCAAACCAGCACCTCAAACCCAGGGGTGCTCAACACCAGGGGATGACGGGAAGAAAGAGAAGGATGCGGTGCCTGGAGATAAAACAAGTGGCCAGAAGGTTTTGGTCAAACACACGAAGATCATCCTGCAGCCATTTTCCACAGCACAGACGGAATGGCTTCTATTTTGGGACCAGGAGATTAAAATAGCTTTACTTTAGTCAAATCGGTCTCGAACAAGACAGGAAAGATGAGGATTGTGATCCTACAGAGGTCTCTGCAACGAAATATCCATTCTTTATAGCAAATACAGAGCTACATCCAATAAATCATCTCAGAATAGAAAGAGACAAGAGCATGAATCTTTAACAAAGACGCATCTACAGATTAAACTTCCCATATTCCTACTGAACAAGAGGAGCGCTGAAAAAGGAGGAGGTAAAACGCACAAGCCAAGCTAGATGAGAGTCACCCAGGTTCGGATGGCCGGGCTGCTCTCCTGGCCCTTCAGGAAGCCTGAACGCCCTGGAGGAGAAAGGACTTGAACTTGCACCCCCCTCCTCCGCAGGCACAGCAGCCACTGCTGCCCACCTCACTCAACATCTCGCTCACACGTATTTGCCCTTCTCTGCCATCCCGTTTCACAAGAGATGCGGTGGCCACCTTTGCAATTTGCAAGAAGATCCATTTTCGGGGGGTACATTCGATTTCCTGCTAAGGGGAAAGAAAAAAGCCTGTTTCTGGGGGCTAACCCCGCTTGGGGTCAGAAGCCACCCCACCGCAGGAACCTCCAAATGCAGGACAAGTGCCTTGGGGCTTGAGATGCTGCCAGGTCTCCCAACAACGGAGCAGGTTTGCAACTTTTAGGCCTGAGCATATAAAAAAGTTTGCCATGAAACCTCCTTCAAGCTCCTAAATCCCTTCTGGGATTTTGCAGCAGTGAAAAAGATAAATAAAAATGAAGCAAAGTGAAATGAAAATAATCCACACTTACCTGCCAGTAGAGCCAAAGACAAACTTCTTTCCTAGAGCAAAGAGCATAAAGCAAGCAGTATCTCATTACTACTGTTTTAACAGGCGGGCTTTCACATCCAGTGGCAGCCAAAGAAGTACCCCAACAGCCAAAAATCCATGACAAGGAGAAAATTAGCTAGGCTTTCTTCTCACCGACAGAGCAGAGGAAAAAGGCAAGAAAGAATAAAACATTTGCTTGTCCGCCATGGTTATTTTCTGCAGTGCAATCTGTCCACCAGCCCTCGCCATATGTGCCACCCTTTCTGTTTGGAGAGATGAAGGCAGCAGAAAGCTGTCCATCAAGATGCTAAACCTTCTGGAAAGCCCTCCCCTGCGCGCTTTTGCCCTGAAACGGGGACTTTTGTGGATGAACAGAAAACACTTAACTAGATTAAACGTAGCTGGTTGCTGGTTATGCACAGAGAGAATTTGATTTGATTAATTCAAATTTTAAGGAGCTGAAGCCACTCAAAGAAAATAAAGAAGGGAGCGGTGAGCTATGCTCCCTTTTTCTGCCCTCTGTATAACCAGCCCCCATCCCTACGGGTGTGCATGGAGAAAATTCAAGGAGACAAGACTGGGATTAATCACAAAATGGCTTTGATGCCAGAGAGAAGCTGGGGGTGGAGGGGTGGAAAGAAGGATAAAAGAACTTTCTGGGCAGTTAGATCGCAGAACTAACTATTTTCAGAGAGAAACACCAGCCCCATCTCTTCCTTCGGGCATATGCCACCTTGCCTAACGTGTTACAGCTGGTTTCCCCCATCAACCACAATCTGAGTGATGGTGGAAAGCTATTTTGAAAGGTAAACTACGCTGTTACTAAGCAGTTCTTCAGCTAAGCCACGTAATGAAAAGAAATGGAGCTACCTCCTACTAAGCTAACAAAAAGGAACAATTCTCTCTCAAAACAAGGATTTTTAAGATCTGTGTGAGATGGAGCCAAGCGGACAAGCTTTAGAGACAGCTCAGGTAAATGATAAGCCACATGCTGCCCTTGCTCTGCAGGAAAGCAGGTCGAAAGCGGGAGCGAGTGCCCATCGGCTGCGAGGAACCTGTGACAGCCCATGGCCAGAGGAAGAAACCTGAAAGTACGGGAGAAAGAGTGCAGGTGATAGTCTAGACAGAAGGTTTGCAGCTTCAGCCGCCAGCCTCAGGCTGCCAAACAGTGCCCCGGCAGCTCAGGAGCATCAC